AAGCTCTTAGACTGCAATGTCATCGTTTACTTTGTTTGAAAGTCAAACGTCGGATTCTCGATCAGCGCCTAAATTTTTTGTTAAATTCAAGTAAGCATTTTGATTAACAATTGAATTCAACTTTAGCCACCAACATTCACGAAGATCCAAATGTGATTTTTGACTTGGAAAGGCTTTACAGTCACCGAACTCTTGCCAGCCTTCTTTCTGATCGTCTCAATCAACTTTGCGACAATTTGATCGGCAACATAATCCACATGACGATCACCCTAAAGACTCAACGTTTCCCCAAAATCGTAAAATCCAAACCTTTGTCGTAGCAATCGAGTTGGTAAATGAGACTTGTTGAAAGCCTCTCTCGCTGACACACAGGTCAACCTAAAGACCAAATTGATTAGCAAAATCCGAAAAATTTTCACCTCCCAGCGATCGTTCACTTGCTCATAGCAGACTTTGATTGTTCCGCCCGTGTGTTATCCGTTGATCGGTGATATCCGTTGTATACTGCTCGATGTATTGTTTGAAGCCACTAGCTAGAAGTTCATTTTAAGTTACATTTCAAACCACATTCCTAAATATCCAAAGATTTATTTTTAGTTAAGCGATACAAACCTTCGCGTATTCGGCCAACACTTGTCTAAGTTCTGGTCAATGCCGCTTACTTCTTCCGCTCAACTCCTTAAAAGTCATAACACGCAATTCGAATAGTCTCTATGTGAAGTTTTGAAAAAATTCATAGCCCATTGCTGCTTTTCCGACGGTCTAGATAACAAATAAACTTTTATTCAACAAGAATGAATTTGGTAAACAAACAAGAAACAGAACAAACAGAAAGCACGTCAATGTATCACAAGCCAACTTTTGAGATCGTCTTTTTGAATGATGATGAATGATGTGACTGCAACCATGACCGTGCCGAAACTAAAATTTTGAAAAAATAAGAGCAACCACTCCTGAACTCTCGGCATTGATTTTTCACGAAGATCCATCTATTCACATCGATCTACATCAGAAGCCGCGCCTAAAAATTAAACCAGCAGAAGTCGATACAAACACTCTAAGCGTGAACCCAAAAACAAAGAACGATCGGAGCATTGTACTCGACAAAGAAAAGGTTCAACAAATGGACCAGCTCAAATTCAAACTCGCTACAGGCTCATCAAAGCTGAAATCGCGCATCGCATGTGGGGCATCAAACAAAGAGGAAAAAACAAAGAAATCGAAAGAAGTCAAGGATCCGAAGAAACCCGAAAAGCGAAAGAAAGAGAAATGTCCATGGGAGGACTACCATCATGGACGAGATCGGGAGGAGCGACGATCAAGCAGTGATCACGCAGGGTCATCTACACGCAAATAAGCCATCAAACAAAACTTTTTTTTTTTTTTTTTTTTTTTTTTCTATTATTGTTCTTGTGTTTTTATGAGATAAATTTGATTTATTTAGGTTTACATGATCAATTTTGTATTTCTCTTTGAAATGAGGACGAAATCTATTTCCCAATTGGAAGCCGAGTGGAGAATCCGGAACTTTTCGACAAACCTGGGTCAAGAATATGACAAAGGACAAGGATGCAGAGATTGTGAAGACGAAAGGGAGACGACTATACGAATGTGTAGTGGGATTTGTTGGCTTTACCCTAAATTTCTAAATTTCTTTTAGGTCACTTTCAAGCCGGAGTTGGCTAAATTCAAGATGCCGGAGCTGGATGATGATATCATCGGATTGATTTCACGAGTGCTTTTGTGTAGCTGTGCGCATCTTGTGGCAAAAAAAGTGTTACCGGTGTGTTTTCCTTGTTGGAATGTAATTTAAAATGAAGTTCTAGGTTAGTGGTTTCAAACAATACATCGAGCAGTATACCCAAGGATATCACCGATAACACTCGAAGTGGGCGGGGCTTCATCAGTTAAGTTGGGGCTACTATTAGAAGAAATACGGTATCTTTACACGATAAATTTCGTGTTTTTCTTTCCATTTACTTTGGGGTTTGGAGGGGTGAAGGGGAGGGGGGAAGAAGAAGGTTTGCGGCCCGTTAAAAACAGTAAAATGAAAAGGGAAACTTCAGCCACTATAAACTTTCAAACAAGAAATGAACTTTGAATTATTTATTGAATCAAGAACGCAAAAGAAATAAAAAAATCCAATCCTTAGCATCCAGGTTTAAAATTGGCAATGGCCATGTTGTAGCGTTTTGCTTTTTCACCCCCTTTGGTCCGGGGGAGGAATTCAACCTAAAGAGAAAGTAGTTGACTGGATAGACACAAAAGTAACTTACTTGAAAGCTTCTCGATAACGTTGTCTCAAGAAGAAATGGCTTCGCACGATGGAATGCTGAGCATTTGAGACATGACACCACGAATGTACGGAGCTTTTGGACGGCGCCTGAAATAAAACACTGTAAATATTAAAATATTAAATCATTAGTAGTACCTAGGAAGTGGTTTCTCAAACATGAAACCATTCCGAATCCTCGACGACCTTTCCGTACGTCTTGAAGATTCCTACATGGAGAGATGCAGCGAAAGAGAAGTGATCCGTCTGATAAGTCCAAGGACGATCATTCTAAAGTATCCAAAATTGAAAAAAACAAAACTTCACACTTACCAGCATTTCAGGACAATCGAAGCATTGTGTTCCGGCGCGACCACTGAAGGAAGTTCCACCTGGCAGAGAAGAGAGATCAATTGCTCGACCCCAATCGATGAGACGTATGATGGGCCTTGCAGAAAGCAACACGTCGGCGCGTAGAGACAATCCTTCGGGCAATCTGAAACAACAAAGTAACTGTTTAATTTAACCACGACTCACTTTCCAATGAACATCACATTGTCTGGCTTTACATCTCCATGGATAATTCCGGCGGCGTGAACTTCTTCCAAAATTCGTGCGAGTTGAAGAGATCGAGTACAACACTGTAGGACACTGTAGGGCAACACTGTAGGGCGAACGATCACCTCGATACGGTGGGGTCATCGCTGGGTCCTCGACAACGACCAGGTTATGTCCCCTCTTTCTGTTGATCTTTCCTTCTTTGCAGAACTTTTGCGTAGAGTTCAAGGTCTCTAGGTAAAATTTGCCCAAAGCGATTAGATCGTTGTTATTGATTTTCGCACCGTAACTCTTGCGGAAAAGTCCCTGTAGTGACCAAGGGAAGTCCGTTTCCTCTTTGATCATTTACATTTCTAGTCAGTGTACTCAGATTGCGTAATCCCATTTTTTCAATCCTTGAAAACATCTGTTTCATAGAGTCAAGTTGTTGGTGGGTAACCAGGCATATTGGAATTCCGGGTGCTACTACCATTGTTGCTGTTGGAGTTAGCTTTCTTGCTAGGTTAGCCAACTCTTTGAATAGCTGGTCTGAGGCAATTCCTTGAGATGACTCGGAAACGCCTGGGTTGATCACGATGAACAACAGCTCGATCATATTGACTTTCGAAATTAGTGAGTTCAGTTCACGTAGCCTTTTGAGGACAGGTTCACAACCCTCAGCTGTTTTTAACACATAGGTGCTGAAACCTGAGCTCTGAACCAACTCAATTGCTTTCGTAGCCGCATCATCTGCAACAATAACAATTTGCTTGTTACTAAGTAGTGCCGCTAGTTGATCCTTTGTATCCTGCGTTCGTTTCTCTTTTCTCCACGTCCCTTTTGATAGATTTCCCGTTAGACGCAGCGCTTCGCTTTTTGTTCTTTTTTCGTCCATGGCTTTCTCATACATAAAGCTCCAATAGCCATTGCCTATCACCTTTGGTTTCTTGATGAGAAGTTCTGCGTATGCGTTACAGGCATCCGTTGAAAGAGCAGCATAATGTTCCATTCCCAGTACAATGCTGGACGGAGTAACTTCGCCCCTCAGGACTTGTTGTATCAAAATTCCAAGTTCAAGCCCGTCGTCGAGGTTGTTGAAAAAATGGAACAGTGTCTTCATATCCTCAATGACGTAGCACTTCAGATTGTCGTCGATCTCCTTGTCCCATTTGTTCGCGATTTCGGCAGCGAGAATTGGCACGCGAAGTTTTGCCGATGGATGTAAAAAGATGATCCTCATTGATGACCACTCGTTCATCTTCCATTCTGAAAGTAGAATCATTTGCTTTTTGGCGTAGGGATAAGCCATAGTTAGGTGAAGTTTCATTCTCTCACCTGTCTCCCACCGTGACGTTGATGGCCTGTTTTTGTTCCAAGTCAATGACGAGCTCGCGGTCTACAAGTACGCTTCGCTTCAGAAGCCTCGAGCTCTGCGTCACTCATGACTATCGAGACTAAAATAAAAAAGCTATAAATTCGATTGAAACCAGGTGTAAAGAATCATACGATTGGCGAAAATTTCGCTGCTGAAACCAATGCGCATAGAGACAATCCTTAGGAAAATAATAGAAAATAAATGATGCGTAAATTTTTTCAAAGTTTTTTGAATTTTCTCAGCAACGAGTAAAAGCAAATCGAATTCCTTTTATTTCTATAAATGTGCCTATGGAATGCGAACATTCTAACAGAGTTTCTAAACTTTTAGTTAAAAACCCGTAATTTTGTGCAACTTTTTTGTCTCTCAGGTGAGTGGGCGGGGCTTCATCAGTTAAGTGGGGCTACTATTAGAAGAAATACGGTATCTTTACACGATAAATTTCGTGTTTTTTTTTGCAATGAGAATGAATTTGGAGGCTTGGAGAATTGAATGGAAGCAGCGAAGACAAAGTTTATTTGCCGGACCGTTGCAAAACTATTAAATTAGCAAAGGTAAAAGCATAAACTGGCTTCAGCCACTATAAACTTTCAAACAAGAAATGAACTTTGAATTATTTATTGAATCAAGAACGCAACAAAGAAATAAAAAAATCCAATCCTTAGCGCCCAGTTTTAAAAATTGGCAATGGCCATGTTGTAGCGTTTTGCTTCCTCAGCCCATTGCGTCGAGCGGAAATTCAACCTAAAGAGAAAGTAGTTGACTGGATAGACACAAAAGTAACTTACTTGAAAGCTTCTCGATAACGTTGTCTCAAGAAGAAATGGCTTCGCACGATGGAATGCTGAGCATTTGAGACATGACACCACGAATGTACGGAGCTTTTGGACGGCGCCTGAAATAAAACACTGTAAATATTAAAATATTAAATCATTAGTAGTACCTAGGAAGTGGTTTCTCAAACATGAAACCATTCGAATCCTCGACGACCTTTCCGTACGTCTTGAAGATTCCTACATGGAGAGATGCAGCGAAAGAGAAGTGATCCGTCTGATAAGTCCAAGGACGATCATTCTAAAGTATCCAAAATTGAAAAAAACAAAACTTCACACTTACCAGCATTTCAGGACAATCGAAGCATTGTGTTCCGGCGCGACCACTGAAGGAAGTTCCACCTGGCAGAGAAGAGAGATCAATTGCTCGACCCCAATCGATGAGACGTATGATGGGCCTTGCAGAAGCAACACGTCGGCGCGTAGAGACAATCCTTCGGGCAATCTGAAACAACAAAGTAACTGTTTAATTTAACCACGACTCACTTTCCAATGAACATCACATTGTCTGGCTTTACATCTCCATGGATAATTCCGGCGGCGTGAACTTCTTCCAAAATTCGTGCGAGTTGAAGAGATCGAGTACAACACTGTAGGATACCTCGCCGGTCACGTTGTTAATGCATTGCAGCATGTTGCCCATCGACAAGTACTCGTTGACAATCAGAGATGCGTTCCGGAAGATGTACATGTCGTCGATCTTCATGATGGCGAGGCTGATCTCCGTGGAAACGCGATTGTGGACGGCTAAATTTATTAATAGGAACTCCACTAGTTCATCAAACTTTACCTTGCGAAATGTAGGCTTCCCAGGCACACGATGGAACCTCGTACTAAATATAATTGTAGAGCAAAAGTTTTAAACGCTTTACCTTCAAAGCTACTGTCAATCCTTCGTCATTGCGAGCTCGATGCACCTTTGCAAAACCGCCTTCACCTAATAGCCAATCCTTGAAACCTCATCCGTATTCACGATTTGAGCTGGAGAAGGTTCCTGAAAAAATGATTAATTACAGGTGAAAACAAGTATAATAGTTTTTTTACATGGCATAATCAAATGTTACCTCTAAAGATCTTGACGCAATTAAATGTGGTGTCTTTGAGCAGCCGTTTGTAGAATAATTCCCCTTGTTCACAACCTAAAAATCCAAACATTTATTCTTAATTAAGCGATACAAACCTTCACCTATTCGGCCAACACTTGTCTAAGTTCGGGTCAATGCCGCTTACTTCTTCCGCTTAACTCCTTAAAGGTCATAACACGCAATTCGAATAGTCTCTATGTGAAGTTTTGAAAAAAATTCATAGCCCATTGCTGCTTTTCCGACGGTCTAGATAACAAATAAACTTTTATTCAACAAGAATGAATTTGGTAAACAAACAAGAAACAGAACAAACAGAAAGCACGTCAATGTATCACAAGCCAACTTTTTGAGATCGTCTTTTTGAATGATGATGAATGATGTGACTGCAACCATGACCGTGCCGAAACTAAAATTTTGAAAAAATAAGAGTTATCAAAATCTCTATGGAATGTTATCGGCTACGATTCGAAAAAACTTGCTCATTCTTAGTTGCTTCGTTAATATCTTAGAGCATTTTTCGTAAATTTTAAAGGCCATAATGCTAGGTCATCAGCGACGAGTTACTTTGATTCTAACAGATCACACTCTAGCTTTTTACTTAAACCACAAGCAAATGATGAAACCTGGTTAAATTGGCGTATAGTTGCTCTGTCGAATGCCACCACGGAAAACATCATCCGAAAAAGCGCCCAAATCCACGAACACATCGACCTCGGCGAGATCCACAAACACGGTGAGAGGCAACTGTCCACTCTGATGCTGCTTAAAATGACGGTGGGTGTTGATCGGGTTTGGTGGACTCTAAAGTACAAGAATTATAAGCTGTAATTTCAAACCTAAGATCTCATCGATTCTATAGAAAAACTACAATCAAAGAGAAACCTGACCTGCATCATCACATTATGCAAGAGATATTTGAATCTTGCACCCCTTGTAGTTGTACCGAAGTCTCGCGGAAACGATTCATACGTGCGATTATTCACTGGCTGAGTGTGAGCAAATCGATAGCAGACGTTGTCTCGAGGGTCGGTGATCTCGAAGTATGTGCCACCAGCAGGGAAGTGGAAGTCGATAGGGTTGGCGGGAGGGTTGCCCCGTTCTTCGACAAACATCAAGATTGGACGAGGACGTTGCACATTCATCTAAAGGAAGAAATGAAAAATCAGCCAACATCAAAAAATGAGCACTTATCACTTAACGTCACTGTGACGTGCACTTTATAGGCTTAATATTTGATTTCAATCAGCTACTGACAAAAAAAGGAGATCCATAAACTGACCTTCGCTTCCGATTTCGAACCAAACTCCTTGGATCTAAAACAACCGAAATTATTAAATCTGAAGAATATCAAATAGTCGTAAAGTAAAGACCAAAACACTGTCAGATAAAGAGCGCACAAGAAAATACTTGAAACTAATAACCGTTCACTGGAGCTAATTTTTACATATGAATAATCTGAAATAACAGGTTTTGATCCATGTTGGGCTCCTACTCGTCAACGTCTTCTTCGTCGGTGTCATACTCGTCAAAGTCCTCTTCGCCAGTGTCATCTTCGTGTTCCAAACCCCCTGACATCATTGCCGAAAAATTGCCTTCGTCAACGCGTACCTAAAATTGAATTCTGAAATTCTCGTAGCCTCGTAAAAATCCACACTTAAAATCTCAACCTAACGAATTAAATAAGTACAAGTCAAGAACTTTCACCCGCAGAAAATTTTAACACTGAACCTGTTGATAGCCGGCAACACTTGAAAGCTTCTCGACAAATCGACCCAACATCAGCACATCTTCGAATCCGGCCTGGACATTCACAAGTATTCCATACGAAATATCTCGATCGTAGCACTAAAAGTCTATCATGAATATTGTTATTTAACCTAGATCTGGGCAAAGGTTTGCCGCCTAAGAATAGTTCCTCTAGTATGATATTATATCACTATATGATATTATTATATTATATGAGAAATAAATATAGGAATTTATTATTGAAACAAAAAGACAGACCTCAAGCAACATTTCCGGCAATAAGAGCTTGGAGTTGCCCAAATTTTCGACTGCGAACTTCCTTTTTTCGTTGATCGGGTAAGCAAGACGAAAAGCCTTTCCGCCATAGATCACGTCCAAATGATTCGGTTCCACCGCGAAAGAATCGAAATCCTTCGAGAAACGCAGTTGAGGTGTCATTAAGTCACAACTAAAGGATGAAAGTGTGGGCAAAAAGCAAGGAAAAACATAATAGCAGATCAATAAAAAAGAAAAGCTATCAACGAAGTTTTTATATATGTTTTCATCTAATCGGACTTATTAGCTCAAGAACGTATTCTTCTTTTTATGGTTATGGTGGCTGGCGCAAAGAAGCTCTACGGATTCCGCGTATTCGTCGCCTCGTGTGTGCTCACAACGGTAACGATAGGTGAGCTTTAATTGAGATAAAACTGTCGTTGATGTCAACGAGTCGTAAGATGTCATTATTTAGGTTTCGTGCTATGGGACGAGCAGAATCAACGGAATCGACGACAAGAAGGCGTTCGACAACGATTGAAAAGCGTGCAACAACAACAGAACATGACCGATTACGCTATGCAGAAACAAAAGTTGGTTTTAAATTACACAAGGTTCACTGTTTTTGTATTTAGATATGAGGAGTACAAAACAACGCACTCGTAATCGGTGGCGATGAAATATTGATAGCTTGAGGTTTACTCCTGTTGTAGATTAGTGTATTTTTACGGGTATTTGTTATTTTGTTTGTACTTTCTTTTTCTTGTTGTATGAATGAATAAACGTTTTGCTTAACTTTTTAATCCGTTTTTAGTTCGTTCCTGGCGATCGGATATTTTTGCGTTTCAATTAATTAAAACTTCAAATGCCTCAGAATCTAATGTCACTTTTTTAGTATTCTGACAAAATGCCAAGCGACGACAAGAAAGCGCCAAAGAAGGTTGACGATGGAAATTACGATAAGGAGGTAAAATTTGAAAATCTTTGAATAATACACTGTGGTGCAAAAGTCCTGACCGGTCGCACTGTCCTATCAAATCTGAACCATTTCGCCAGAAAAAGAACGTTAAAATTTTATGGTAAAAACGTTTTTGGATAGCTTAAACCTTCTACTTTTATAATCCAAAGAATGAAAGCAATAACATTTTATTTAACAAAAAATTTTGACAATATTCCGAAACGACTCAAAAAAACATGGTGCAAAAGTCTTGACCGGTTTTTTATTTCTTGATTTTTTTGGTATTTCTTGTCTTTCTGCATAAACTTTTTGGTTCTAATTCTATTTTTTTTAGATGCCAGGACGATATCTATCAACGCCTGACAAAGAGAAAATTGTCGAGAATCGAACAAAAGGCGTTCGCGTGAAGAATGTGATGGAAACGTTCAAGTGTTCTGAAAAAACAGTGAGACGTCTCGTGGCGCAATTCAAATCAAAAGGAAACGTTCATAGAGCCCCAAAAAGAGGTCGATCACCAATTACAACACCAAATGAGGATCGTTCGATCATCAGGGAGCACCGAATAAACCCCTAATCTAACGTCGAGCTATGGGATCAAGAAGTTGAAAGCTGTTTCTGGCAAGGATATTTCCCGATGGAGCATCAACCGTCGCTTGATTCGAGCAGGATTGCATGCAAGAAGACCAGCAAAACGACCCTTGACCATTGCAAAAACTCGGAAGCTGAGATATGATTTTGCAAAGAACTACGAGTGTTGGACTTCCGATGACTGGGCCCGAGTCATTTTTACCGATGAGACTAGAATTAATTTATACTACCCGGACGGTAACCATTTAATCAGAAGACCAATTGGACAACGTTATAAGCTCAAATACGTTAAGCCAACGGTCAAATTCGGTGGTGGGAGTATTATGTTGTGGGGTAAGTGTTCGCCCTATTTTTTACTTACGATTTGTCTTTTTAGGCTCGATGAATCGAAGTGTATCGGGACCGCTAGTGTTTATCGATGGAAATCTCGACGCTCAAAGGTACAAGTCAATCATAGAGAACAACTTACTTCCATTTGCAAACACGAACATGCCACAAGGATGGGCCTTATATCAAGACAACGCCCCTTGCCACAAAAGCCAATTACTGATGGGTCGAGTTGTCCGGCTTGCAAATGGAGGTAAAGTTCGCCTGCCCGGCTTTTTGCTGCTCATCGTGTGGAATTGATCAAAGCACCTCCCTATTCGCCGGATCTGAACGTTATAGAGCATCTTTGGGCCCATTTAAAAGCCAAACTCAAGGGACGCCGGTTCAACTCAAAGGTCGATGCTTATTTCTTTATCAGAAATGTTTGGAGACAACTTTCTTTGGGAATTCTACGTGATTTGGTCGACTCGATGCCTAGACGCATCAAGGCAGTCATTGTCGCAAAAGGAGGACCTACGAAGTATTGAATTTTCTTGTGTTTTCTTGTACCGGTCAAGACTTTTTGCACCATGTTTTTTTGAGTCGTTTCGGAATATTGTCAAAATTTTTTGTTAAATAAAATGTTATTGCTTTCATTCTTTGGATTATAAAAGTAGAAGGTTTAAGCTATCCAAAAACGTTTTTACCATAAAAATTTTAACGTTCTTTTTCTGGCGAAATGGTTCAGACTTGATAGGACAGTGCGACCGGTCAGGACTTTTGCACCACAGTGTATTTGAATGATTTTAGGTGATTTCAAAATCGCCCAACCTGGAGATCGCTCAACTGCGCTTCCTCGTCAATCACCCTGAATTGGATCCAACTCTCAAGGCCACCAACCTCGAGCAATTGATGATCGAGATTAAAGCCAACGACATGGCCCCATTCTACAAGTTGTTGGCCGAGGAGGTGAAACTGCCATTCGACAAGGCTCTATACGATTCCATGACGGCGAAGAATCAAGAGAAAATCGAGGCCTTTGATGCGGAGATTGCCGAGAAAGCCGAGAAGAACATGGGTGAAAGTGAGGTGCGACAGGCTTGGCTAAAGAAGTACGAGTATTTCTGTCAAATCGGAGACAAGGAAAACGCCCTGAAAGCTTTCACGAGCACTTTCCGAGAAGACCGTTGGCGTTGGGTACAAGATCGGTTTGGTGTTCAATATGATTCGTGTTGGACTGTTCTTTCTGGAGCATCAACTGATGAACAACTATGTCACCAGGGCCAAGGAGCTGATGGAACAGGGCGGTGATTGGGAACGTAAGAATCGTTTGCGATCGTACGAAGCCCTCTACAAGATGTCGATTCGAGACTTCTCCGGTGCCGCGGCTTTGTTTCTCGAAGCTGTGCCGACTTTTGGAAGCTACGAGTTGCTGAGCTATGAACAATTGGTCTTCTACACGATTACCACATGTGTGCTGGCACTGGAGCGTCCCGATTTGCGCTCAAAAGTCATCAAAAGCAACGAGGTGCAGGAGCAGCTGACCGGTGGCGGAGAAAGGGACAGCTCGTCATGATGCGCGACTACCTCAGCTCGTACTACGATTGTCACTACGAGAAGTTCTTCCACAATTTGGCAACTTTGGAGTCGGAGAGGTTGAAGTTCGACAGATGCACTTCTTCCCCCATTACAACTACTACAGCCGTGGAATGCGCCTCAAGGCTTATCTCCAATTTTTGACTCCCTACAAGACAGTTCGTTTGGACATGATGGCCAAGGATTTCGGTGTGTCAGTGGAATTTCTGGACAAAGAGTTGCACCGCCTTGTTGCCGCTGGACAAGTGCCTTGTCGAATCGACGCTGTGCAAGGAGTCATCCACATGCACCACCCGGACACAAAGAATCGCTTGTTTAAAGTGGTCATTCGAGATGGGGATTTGGTCGCCAGTCAAATGCAAAAAGTTGTCACGGGTTCTTCTTTAAAACAAACCAACAAATTTTGTCTTACTCTTTTTTCTCATGTGTTATTTATTCCTTGAGATATTATCTGATCTGGTACTTTAATTTTTTGTGATGATCTTTTTTGAATGTTCGGTTTTGTCAATAAATAAATTTTCAGATGCTGGCGTCTCAGCGAATTGGGTCAACGTAATGTAATTCCTTTTGTGCCGTAGTCGGCTGGGTTTAACTTTCCAGGGACATGAAACAACTTTACTGAGATTTTGATGCCTTTAATTCTTCTTGAATCTGAGCAATTTTGTTTGTACGGCTCTGCACAAATTTTTCCCTGCCTTATCCCTTGTTTTTTCTTGAGTGACCCATTTCAGTGCCACTTCTGAATCTCCGCGAATAATGATTTCATCAATCTTTAATTTTATTTCGTTCAATAGGTATTGAGCCTGCTTATGAGCGCATTCTAGGGCTAACAATTCCATCTTTGGGATTGTGGGAATGACTTTAGTAGGGTTCAACCTATTCTTTGCAAAGATTATCGATGACTCAAATCTTTCTTCAATTTTTGTTTGCAGGTACGCGACAATTGCGTAAGCTTTTACCGATGCATCAGCGAATATCACTATTCGTGTGTAGTCTCTTTTTTGTGTCCTAAGGATGAACCTTGGGATTGTGATGCTTGTTTCTTTACCGAACTTGCTTTTCAATCTCTTCCCATTGCTCACTCTGTTTTTCGGGTAGTTGGTGATCCCATTTTAAGTTTTTGATCGACCACAAGCTTTGATAAAAACTTTTAGCCTCAATCAGCAATGGGGTAGCGATTCCCAATGGGTCTTAATTCGTTGCAATAGCTTGAATTATTTTCCTTTTGGTTAACGGTCGCTCCGCCTTAATTTGGGTGGTTTGCGATAAAGTATCTTTGTCGCTGTCCCAAGTCATTCCTAGCAGTTTTAGTGAGCTTTCCACAATTTTACCTTCCTTTTCAATCAAGTTTAGCACAATTTTGTTGTTGCTAGTGAATTCCTCGAATGTTCATCTTCATTTTCCTAAAGACATCCTTGTATGTCTTATATTTTTGAATAGCTTCTTGCTCGCTATGTGCGCCGACAAAAAGATTGTCGACGTACATATTTTCGGCAACTTCATCCTTCAGTTCAGGATAATTTTGTTCCTAACATGTGTAGTATCGACATTGTGAGTAGGAAAGCACTGGCTTTAACACCGAATGGTGTCCTTGTATATCTTAAGACTTTCAAATTTTGGAAGGAAAAGGGTTGTTTGTAATCTTTCAACCACAATATGCGAACTTGCATCTTTTTCGGAACTTTGTAGGTGAACTTGATGATATGCTTTCTCTACATCGGCTGTAAGCAATATTGGAAATGTTCTCAATCTTATCAAGATTCCGATCATGTTTGGGATCAATGACGGGCCTTGATGCATGATTTGGTTCAGTGATCTGCCCTTTCATGCTCGCACTTGCATTCAAAACAATTCTTAATTTAGTGGTCCTCGAAACTTCTTTTATTACCGCTTGATGTGGTATATAAAAGCTTATTGGGCCTTCAATTTTCGTTGGTGCTTCTTCTAGGATTTCTTGCTCCAATTGTTTTTGAAATTCATCATTATATTTTGCCAATAATTCTGGGTTTCCTTTGAGTTGCTTGATGAGGCTAGATTGCGGAGAGCTAGATTTGTACTTAAACAAAAAAGTCAAGAACATTACCAACATTTCCACAGCTATCGGCAACATAACAGAGGAAAATTTTTGGGATCTAGAAAGTATGGAAATCACTGATTCCCCAGAAGCGGCAGCTTCAGAAAAGGAGCAACAAGAAGTTATGACAAAATTTAAAGA